CCCCCGCCGCTGACTCGAGTATAAGCCGAGGGGGGCATTTTTCAGCCCCAAAAATGGGCTGAAAAACTCGGCTTATACTCGAGTATATACGGTACTCACTTCCTCAGAAATGGACTTGATGTGGTCACCAAAAATAAAGCTTATGTCCAAGTTATTGTGCAGAATAACAGAACAATAGAGTTAGAAGGGACATTGGAGGTCTTCTAGTCCAACCGTCTGCTCAGCCAGGAGATCCTATAACATTTCAGACAAATGGTTGTCCAATCTCTTCTTTAAAACCTCCGGTGTTGGAGCACCCACAATTTCTAGAGGCAAATCATTCCACTAATTAATTGTTCTGACTGTCAGAAAAATTGTCCTTAATTCTAGGTTGGATCTCTCCTTGTTTAGTTTCCATCCATTGTTTCTTGTCCTGCATTCAGGTGCTTTGGAAAAAAGGTTGACTCCTTCTTTATGGCACCCTGAGATATTGGAACACTGTTGTCATGTCACTCCTAGTCCTTCCTTTTGTTAAACTAGACATACCCAATTCCTGCAATTGTTTAGCCTCCAGTCCCCTAATCATCTTTGTTGCTCTTTTCTGCACTCTTTTTAGATTCTCAACATCTTTTTTATATTGTGGCAATCAAAACTGAATGCAATATTCCAAGTGTGCAATAATTCCAAGGCATTATAAAGTGGTACTAACACTTCAAAAAGATTTAATCTTAAAGTCATGGTATTTGTAGATCAAATTTTCATGTCTGCTATGGTGACCAAGAACTTGCCCAAATTTTTAGGTCTACACATGCAGCAGATTATTCTTCTGTTGAATTTAATCTTTTGAGGAGTTGATAATCTAAACTAGAGAGTTACATACAATTTTTTAAATCATGAACAGACCATACTCCAATTAGCCAGAAACTGGAGAGACAAATCTCAAAAGCATTGTGCACTATCAATTAAAGTTATTCTTCCTTGATATTTGGTAGATACCCACACTATTTTGGGGGAAGTTTTTATCTTAACTTATAGTGAATGTAAAATCATTCAAACAATGTGACTTTGATTTTTTAATTTTTTGTTTATTGTTTCTGTATTAAAAATTCTTACCAGAAATTCTATGGCTATCGACTGAAAATCGGGCTTGTCAGATGCTATATTTTTCTTGTCCTGCTCTATGGAGTAGAGAGTTGGTCTCTGACAGAAGGCCACCTGAAGAGACTAGAAGCATTTGAAATGTGGATTTACAGGCGGCTGTTACGTATAAGTTGGGTTGAGAAGATCAGAAATGAGGAGGTGATAAGCCGCCTGGGAAAGCCAAGGGAAAGCATCAAAATAATTAAAAAATGAAATTTAGAATATTTTGGACATGTGATGCAACACCCAGACAAATACAGCATACTCCATTTAATCCTCCAGGGAAAGATTGAAGGCAAACAAGGTCCAGGCAGGAGAAGAACATCGTAGCTTCAAAATCTAAGGGACTGGTTTGGACAAAACTCAGCAGCACTTTTTCGTGCAGCTGCTGATAAAAACAGGATCGCCAACATGATCGCCAATGTCCGATAGCAGATATGGCCCAACAAGAAGAAGAAGAAGATCAGTTAAAGGGTTTTCTAATCAGGAGTGTTGTTGAATATATCTGCATCCCAGATTCATAGCAATTTCTTGGAGATCACAGAATTAACTGAGTTATCTAATACAGGCCTTAGTCCCATTAGGAAGAATGGAGTTGAATCAATCTGAGAGACCCAATGTATGTACACACACCCCATACAATGCCATGGTATTGGAGCAAAGGTCTTATGTCTATAGTGTAGAATTTTCTGTAAAGAACCAGGCTGGACCCAAGATAATCTTCACTAAATGTCAGTCTTAACTCCTGACCTTCATGCATTTAAACATCAGACCTTGTAGTTTAAACATTGTGACTCTAATCTGAGTCACATTCTTATCAGCCCCTCGTTTTCATGCATTCATCTAATCAACAAACTGAATTTATATCCGAATCTGTTGAAAACCTTGGAGCCATATCATCTTAAGAAAGCTTCATATGCAATTTCTCATGATAGCATTAGAATCTCAATCCAGTCTTCCATTGTATCCCTTTTCTTTTTCTCACTGAACCACTGGGCATTAATAAAACAAAGCTAAAACAAAAAACGTGTTCAAGCACTCTTGAGCCAAGTAAGCCACACTCAGGAAAACATTTTGGAGTTGGGAGAATCCCCATCTATCAGAAGATAGAACAGCCATCTCAGCAAAAGGGAGGAATTGTGTAAAGGGAATTCAACTGGACAAAGTTGTAGCATTCTAAAAAATAAAACCAATCTGCACTGTGGGCTTTCTTCTTATACTCTGTTTTTAAAAGTCTTAGGTTGTTCTATCAAGACATTAGAATTGTGATGCATAATCAGCTTTCTTGTTTTCCTGCTGCTACTAGTAACTTCTTAATTTGCTTTTTTGTTACAGTCTTTCAGCAAAAGGTGACTAGGACTCATGCTGGTAATGAGAAGCTGTTGAACGCTGTCAGGAAACCAGGTACAGAATTAAATACTTTTGTCAATTTTGCTGTTTTTTAAAGTAATATAAATACAGTGTAATGGCAATACAGGATTCATTTCTCTTATTGTGTATAATCAGCCTGGCATGTTCAGCCATATTAGAACTGCAATTTGCCAGGATTCATAGCCAATATGATGAATGTACATTCTGGATGAGAACTGTGGGAATTTGCAGTCCCGGCACATCTGGAGAGAACCAGGTTGGATAAGGTGGGAATATAGCATGCAACAACTAACAGCACAACTATCTGTTATTTATTGGTTTCATCAATGCAAACTATTACACAGTCCTGGGATATAAATATGGAGAAGGCAGGCAGGATAGCCACTTTGAGGTCTGCAGACACAGAAGACCACAGACATTCCTTCCATCTTAAAAAAACCCAAAATAAGTAATCAGCTGTTGCATTTGCTTAGACTGAATATGGAAGGACTAGCAGACACAAGGCAAGTAGGGTTTATATGCTGGGAGTCAGGTGGCATATAAATTATTATTATGGTCACACAGTCAATCAGATGTTTAGACTAGATTTGACATTTTTGTCTACCTACCAAGCATCTGGGATAGGCAGATCTTATTAGATAATATTAACAGTATCATCACAGGATGTAAGCTGTCATCATCATCATCATCATCTAGGGGATGACAATTTCAGTGCATACCAATCAAAGTGATTGCTAGATGGAAACAACAAGACCCAGAAAACCTTCTTTGCTGGCATTTAGTACATGTCCAGATGACTTGAAAGTAAAATGTAGTGATTTTCTCACTGTAAACTTTCAATTTCTTACTGGCTCCTAGCCTAATATTGGAAAAAGGTAGGCTATAGATTACCCCAAATTCTTAAAATCACCTCCACCTTCTAAAATTTTCCTGTCCTGGCAGAGAGGATACATACATAATTTATTATACTTCTTTACAGTTTTATAAGTGGGTGTAATTGCTTGGGGAAATTCCTGGGGTTGGAACCATTCAGGAATTGATAGTTCCATATATATAGTAAATCCAATAATTTATATTCTGCAGGGTTTGCTATAGAATCCTTCTGGTTAAAAGGGAAGTTAATTTTAACCATTTTGTTCTTTTATACATTAATACATTATATTAAATATTAATATAATAGTATCTGCTAAAAATTATCTTCTAATATATCTATTATATTTCCCTGGGTAACCCACCACTAATAATTTTGAAATGTGGCACTTTTAGGAGGCATATAGACATTTAGGTTATTAGGATAGGCTCATTTATTATTATGAATATCATTATCTGCAGGGGCGAGAGTAGTCCATTTTTTTAGATGTCTTCAGATCCTACTTTCTGTCAACAAAATAGCGTAAAAGAACATTCCATAGGATGTGGTTTCCATGTTGTAATAACCCTTGATCTAAATTCTGCTAAATAAATTACATCCATCTGACTTTCTGGGATCCTAGTTTCTTGTAGACACACTATGTCATGCAATTTAATAAGTTTAAGAAATTTGTATCAACAATTTGAATATTCCAGCATGTTATATTTGAAACCATGATGGATAAACCATTTGAAATTGCACAGCTTAATTGTGATTTGATTGTAGAATCAAGAAGACACTTTGTGTTTACAACTTAAGCACTATAGTGTCAACTTGATTTGATTATGGGAAACTTATTTCTCACTTGTTCTTTTACTGCCAATAACTTCATGTTTTGAACTGGATTTCACTACTGGAGCACAGAGTAATTTCATCAGAGATCATTAGACTAATGGCAATGGTTTGTTTATTAAACAACAGAAGATACCTCTGAGTCTCCTACTAACTGAGTGATAATGCAGTTAGATCTTAAAAAACTAAGTGCAAGTGGGTCATAGGCCTTTATCTGTAAGAGAAGAGTCTGTATCTTGAAAAGTGGGGCTATATAAATTTTCATACAGAGACATTTAATTCATGGATCGTTGCCCTTTAGATAACTATACCCAGTTAATTAACTTTAGGAGCTATCCTTAAAAAGACAATTTTTTCCTCTTCCCTCCAAGGAGTAGGGTCAATATCATGTACTGTAAAGCATCATATAGAGATGCATAACTTAATGTAGCATCTTTCTGTGCTTAAGGAAAGGTGGATTGTATATATCATTCTGCTATACAGTATTCTATGCATCTCTTCCTTCAGTACCACTGACCATTAGGACTTGAATATCCCTTAAACCTCATGCCCAGTATCTAGTCATGTAAAGCACAATGGTCCATGAGACATAGTAATATATATTTTGATGAGTCCCAATAAGGATAAAAATGGTTATTATTGCCTCCTGGTAGTTAGTATTCCTTTTCCTTTCCATTAGCAAGTGGAGTAAATATTGTCCACTTTCCCTACATGGATGAAGTAACAGGGTTTTTTTAAGAAAAAAGGTTGCTGTCAAGTCAGTGTTGGCTCCTGGTAACTGCCTGCACAGGTTCCTGCAGATTTCTTAGCAAAGTTTGGAAATAGTTTTATATTGGCTCCTTCCTAGGGCTGAGAGTGATTGGCTCAGCATAACACAGCTGGCTTTGTACCTGACTATGGGTCTAACACTCTTCTGAAAGAGCATTAAACAATGTACAAAAATAGCCCAGTTGTCAGCATACAGGAAAGGCATGAATGAAATGGGAGGAAACTATCCAGAAAGAGCCAGCCTTATCCCCGATCACTCTCACAATGGCAGGGCAGTGTGCTTAAGCATCCAGAGGTAGCCTGTCTAGTATGCAAAATTGTATAAAAGTGCACAAAATGGCACTTCCACTTTTCACAATTATAATAAAACCCATAAAGGCCAGCAGAACCCTTCATTGGCACTTGATATCCAGAGCATCCAGAGATAGCCCATATTATGTAAAAGTGTACAAAATGGCACTTACACTCTTCACAATTATAATAAAACCCATAAAAACCAGCAGAACTCCTCAGTGACAGAACCAATAATGCACAAGTTGCAAAATGCAGCCCACTTTTCCAATTTAAGTTGATGCTTTGGGCGGCATTGACCCAGAATTTTTTGAAGAATGCACAAGTCCTGTATTTAAAGTATAGGTGTAGCCTAGCATTTATTCAAAAGAGTCCTAACTGAGTGTACACAAGAAGCCAATGTTTTATCTGGCAAGTCTTAGCCACATCATCAGTAAAATGTACTAGATCATATCCATAGCCAAAATTGTGTCAGAAGAAGAGGAAAACATTTCTCTCAAATTACAACTAAAGACAATTTTAAGCTGTCTCAGCAATGGCCTATGGATGCAGCAATAATACTTTATGCGTAAAATGGAAGGATACTTTGATTCCCACAATGGACGAATGCCTGCAAAAGTTGATGGAGTTCATAGAGATTACTAAATTGACTGTTTTGATTAAAGAAAAGAATACAATTAATTTTGTTTCTACTTGGAAACCACTTTTAGATTTTGGGCTTGAGGTGGAAAAAAATGAAACTTTGATTTTGGGCTTTGCTGACTAGATAGGTTTGTTGTTATAGAAATGGCTAGTATATATTATTATGTAAAGTTAAAAAATTGAGATTGTATGTTTTTACCTTATTCTGCTGCACCAAAAGGAATTGGAAGTCAATGCTTTTCTTTGTTTTTCCCCTTTATCCTACAGTTTTTCCTGTTCCCCTTTTCCTTTCCTGTTTTCCCATTATTTTCATTTTTCTTTGTATCTCTGTATTTTACATTTTGGTAAACTAATGAAATAGTTAAATCACTAGCAATGGCCTGTGGATGAAGACATAGCATAAAAATGGTTACCAGGGCATGTCTTGACCAGAAAACAGGAGGGTAATCAGAGTAGGCACCCCAATGGTATCAGTAAAATCAGTCCTGTCCCCTTTAATGTTCCTCACAGTTATCTAACCAGTCCTCCGGTTAGATAACCAGTCCTCCGGGAGAAGGGCGGGGTATAAATTTAATAAAACTAAACTAAAACTAAAACTAAACTACCTCAGCCACAGAAGAACCTCCAAACTGGATCTTTAAAAGCAGGCAGGCTTGTATAGGAAGCAACTGCTCTTTAGTTAGTGTGAACTTAAGCCATTCAGAGCTCTGACAACATATTGGTTTATTCTCCTACACCATTTGCTATGACTCATTTTTGCAACATGCAGACTTACAGACAATTTTTTATCTTCTCTAAATAGTTGAATATAATTTGCTTAGAAAAGAAAAAGAACACAGGATTATCTTTGGAAATGTGTGACAGAGATATTATTTGATTTCTGCAGGACACTATCTTGATAGTTCTGCATTTTCTGTTTTTATTTTCTGAACCAAGCTGCCCACCCTTAATGTAATGTGTCAGTACTTCCTGACTTGTGTTTCATAATTAGCTAATGGCATTGTGCTATCTCTTTACAGGAACTCCAATGACAACTAAATTTAATGAGAGTGAATTAATCAAAGAAATGGCCATGAAACTGAATGGTAGATATAAAGTTCTCTCTCTCTCTCTCTCTCTCTCTCTCTCTCTCTCTCTCTCTCTCTCTCT